CTGGCGAAACTTATGTTCAGTGAAACAAGCAAAGCACAGAGGGATAAATATCTTGTGCTCACTCATATGTGAGAGCTAAGAGAGAAAGGAAGGAAGGAAATTAAGACCACAGCAGTGTGTTAGTCCTACAGAGGGAGGGAACATTCCTAGGGCTACAAAGTGGAGTCGGGGCATGGGGGAGGGGGAGGGAGGTTGGGGGATAATTGGGAGGGGACAAAGGGTACAAAAGTAATTTCTGGTAATGGGTATGCCCTCAGTATGAACCTGGCCCTCACATCATGGGCATGGTGGGGGGTGGGGGGAGTGTGACAGTTAGCTTTGTATTTCATGAGTATTCTTAATAAAAGATTTTTTTAAAATAATAAATAAATAAATAAAAATAGGCAATCCAATCCAGGATAAAACAACTAAGGTATCATATCCAGGTTAAGGAATTTACTAATACTCAGTTCTTAGACCATAGTGATCATATTTGAAGGCAAAACATGGGGTCTTCAAAAAGTTCATGGAAAAAAATTCTATCTTTTAATTCCATTTTTCCATGAACTCTTTGAAGTACCCTCGTATTTGCAAGGTGCAGCATACCTAAAAGATGGAGAACAGGGTTTTAAAAAGCAATGTTAAATGAGATATTTAAAGTGTTTGAGTTGTTGGGACACAAACTTCTGTGTCAAAACAAAATTTCTTTGAAGTCAGTGGCTTTTGGGAAAATTAAAGAAAAGGCCAAAGTAACATATATGAATTAGCTTAGATCATATATAGTAGTTAATCTGAGGTGCTTGCTTGGAAAAGATGTCAAAGAAATATACCTTAAATCTCAACACAGATAGGCAGGCATATCTACCTATGTCTTACTGATCTATTTCTGCAGAAATTATTACTCAGAACTGAGAAGTTATTTTTGTCTTCTATATTTTCTCATCAGTGAAAATAAGTCAAACTTTTGGAAAAAAGAAAAATTTAAAGTTTATGTCAATTTTCTTGGGGTACCAAAGATGATAGAACTTTCATTATAGTATTTCTCTAAAAAAACAGGAGACTAATAATATCATTTCTCCTTTATAGTATAGGAAAACAAACATGCCCACCTATAAATCCAGGGATTGTATGAACACACGAAACAGCCTCTAGCTCTGTTGCTCTTTGTAATCCTAAAGAGATGAAAGCATTCCTGAGGTTTTCCTAAGCACCAACCAATGTTCTAATTATTTAAGATGTAGTGAAGATAAAATTTTGTTAACAGAGAGGGCCAAAGCCAATTTTTATATAGGTAAAATTTATATCTCCAAAATGCAATACAGAATTTATAACAACCATGTATGGGAAAACTATTAAATTAAATTCCAAATACAATCAGTGGAACAACAGAATCACATATAGATGTGTCACAAAGGAGCTATCTAATAATACACAATTTTTTGTTACCAGCCGTATTAATAATTTGGTGATTATACTTAAGCAGCAGCAACTTAAGCATTTTACATCTTAACATGATAGTTACATATACACATTTTACAGTTTCAGTTATATTTTAGTGATTTGGTTGAAGGATTTGAATGACATATTAAGCATTATATTCTCCTACATAAACGATGAATTATGGGAAATTGGCTCCTATCAGGTTTTCAAAGGAACCAATGCTTAACTTTATGAGGGAAATGTCTGAATGCATGTGCATTTTTTTTTTTTTTTAGTAGTCATTTACTGGTTTCCTATCAGGCATTCAATCTCCCCTTTCTTTTCCACTTCCTAACAATGTTCCTAACGTTTGGATATCATCCTTCAGCCCTTGCAACCTATGTGATTTTGGGGAAAGCTGATCAGACCCACGGAGGCAGGCCATGATTGGCAGGAGCAGCATATCCCATTTTTCCTAAAAAGCAATATACCTACATATCATTTATGGTTCAACAGTAGATAAGCATGGTATTTGTGTATAAAGCTGCTATTAGAAATAGGACATTATTCCCTGGAAGTAAACCTTTTGTTTACACCAACCCAAATTCTAACTTTAAGACGTAGTGAAGATAAAATTGTTCTTGCTATATTAAAATAGGAAAAAGGATTTGCACAGTTCAAGGATGATATGCTCTGGTTCTATATCCTTGCAGCTATTAATGATCCTTTTTCCTTTTTGCCTTGAAAATTTATCATTTTAATAAAGTCAAAAAGTTCATTTCTAAAATACAATTCAATTATATGTCTTGACTGAATATTCACAGAATATTTCATACCACAATATAAAAAGTAATTTTTCCATGAGGAATCAGGAAACCTATATTATAGTTCAAAGTCTTTAAAATTAACATGTACAATATACTGCAATATAGCACAAGTCTTGTGGGAGGGATGAGCAAGACAGTGGCTCACTTTCCTTTTTGTAAATCAAGTAAACTGGTCTATTTAATTTACAGCCCCTATCAGCACTTAGTATCTGCAAATTCTAATTTAGGGTTCAGCATATGGCCTTGCCATTTAAAAGAGT